TTCCTCTTGCCTCATCTGCAAGGCTAGAAAACAGGGATTCAATGGTGTAGGCTTTTGGGTCATTCCTTAAGGACTGGGTTATATTAGATATAAACCCTTCATATTCATGACCAAGGCTATTCAGTACCCAGGCTATAATAACCTGGTTAGGCAGAATGATATCTTTTTCCTTTAGGTTATCCACTAATCCCTTAACCTTATTAAGATATTCTTCCATCGTTTGGAAATCATCCAACGTGGTATTAAAGAAATCTTTTAGGGTGAGGTATTCAGTAGTGAATCCCTTAGGATTATAGAGATCTTGAAGCCTTATCCAGGCCTCCTTAGCCTTAGCTATATTATTTATGTGAAGAAGAGGTCCATCTTCACATAATAGTTTTATGATAGCTAGTGCTTTATCATTCTTTTTGCCCAGGACATCTTCCTCAATAGCAGAGGATAGATCTTCCTTTATAAGGGTGGCCTTAGTCCTAATAGACCAGGTTATATAGTTATCTGAGCCATGTAGCTTTGGCAAGCTAATCTTATCAATAGATGCCATATTAAATATAGCTTCTTTAGACTCAGAGTATCGATTGATAATCAATCAAGTACTAGGTTAGACCTAGTATATGGAAGGGTATTGATTAATGAATAATCAATAGTATAGATCCCTGGAAGAGATCTTGGTATAGGAGATTGCCTTAGAGCAAGGCCGGGCTCATAACCTGTGAATTAATAAGTAGTATGTAGTGTATAACTAGCTAGTAGAGTTCACTAAAGCAAAGGGGAATAGATAGCTTGCCAAGGTAAGAAGGAAGAATAGTAGAAGGAAGTAGCTAAGGATATCTTAGCTAAATGTCTTAATTCCTTGATTTCTCTTAATTGCTTAATTAATTATAAAACTAGGTGAGGAGTGACCTTGAGGACATATTTATAGGCAGTGGGTAGCTAGGTGATATCACTATGCTGTCATAGTGAGATCACTATTTGCCTCTTATTAAGGTTTAACCATACCATGGTTCTCACCAACACTCTTCCTTATAAGGCTTATTCTATCTTAAGGATGTAATGCTGCTAATTAATTTCCTTTATTCTTATAGGTTAGTATCATCTAGTCTTATAGAAAGGTAAAGTAATAGTTATTAGTATTACTAGGTCAGGCTCCTTAGGGGAATAGGGCTTAGGTGCCTCCTTAGGAGCTATAGAAGGAAACACTAGGGACTGAATGTATGAGTATTTAGAGGTATCTAGGGACCCTTAGATTATTCTGAAAAAGAGACTCTATAACCTTATACTATGGCCCTATGGTTCTCCTATTAAGCTATGCATATTTAAAGGCTTAGTTACTGCCCTAGGAAGAACCACAAGGCCAGGGGTAGTTAGGGAGAGAAGAGAAGATAGAGCTAAGGGAGGGAAGATGTCCCTTTTATATCCTGCCTATTACCTAGCGCGGCGCACCATATTATGTTAGTGATCTTGGTTAATAGGTTGCCTAATTAGGAAATTATGAGGACCTCCCAGTTCATCTATATAGCTATCTTATCTTGGTAGGTGGGTAGTGAAGACTAGATTAACTATTTCCCTGTGCAATCCACTAGTATGCAGTATTCTGCAAGCCACATCCTTCCTAGTATAATATTATGGTGTCCTAGGTCTAGTATAAGAAATGGCATCTATCTTATAATGTAATTATCTATGGCTATAGTTAATATAATAATATAGGTAAGGGGAATAGACTACTTTCTATTAAACCCTATAACTATATACTCCCTTTCTAGAGGCATAGTAGGTATTCTGAAATATTAAGATATCTAGATAGCTAAGGAAGTAGTCATGCACGCATATGCATTTACTCTAGTATTAACTAGAGAGCTTATAGATACTAAGAATCTATTAATAAGGATAAGAGATTTTAATTTAAAACTATCTTCTTTATTATCTAATAGATTCTGTAAGTCCAAGTTACACAAGTTAACTAAATTTATGTCTAAGAAGGAGACTTCTCCTAGGCATCCTTATTTTCTAGTTCAGGAGTAGGCTTAATAGGTTATTCTAATACTTTAAGCTGTGCAGCCTGCTTCATAGGGCAGCTATAGCTAGTATACCTAATCTAAAAGCATATAAAGCATTTACCCTTACTTATAAGATACTTCCTAGTCTTATCATCAAGATTACTAGGAGCTAGGGAAGCTGTAGCAGTATAGCTATAAGTAGTAGTATTATCTATAGAGGGAGTGGCTGCAGCTAGGGTAGTAGTATAAGATATTACTCCAGTCCCTCTAGTTTAAGTATTAGTACTGCTGTTTAAATAAGCCTTAATTCTCTCTATATTCTTAATATTCATTACTATACAGCTGCAGTAGTCTATGAACTCCTAGAAAGTCTTATTATTATTATTATATATAGGCATAGTGAGCTCTTGTATGTGGAGAGATAGTTTATTATATAGGTTATCTTTCTAGGTCTCCTTAGGGATGCTTGCTTCTGCTATAAGGTATAGGAACTCAGAAATAAAATCATTCTATTTAACTAATAGCTTTATATAGAGGGTTTATATTTCTGCTTAGTAACTTACTTATAATTAGGGTCTGTAAATACATTTTCTAGATGCTTAAGGAGGTCGGTAGAGTCCTAGTATAGGTTAATAGTGTCTTCTCATAAATAAGGGGTAATATGCTTCCAGGTATTACCCTTAGTATAACTAGTTATATAGGTAATTCTTATTATAGGGTTGGGGAAGTGGTTAGCATTAGTAATAAGCTTCTACTTAATAGCTAGTAACTAATCTTTAAAATAAGGGTCCTTTCCATTGCTAAGGAGAGGGGGGTCTGGAATCTTTACTAACTTACTACTAGTAGCTAAAGCCTAGGAACTAGTGTTTCTAATGCTAGATCTGCAGGCTACCTGCAGGGTGAAGTTATTTTATTTATAGATTACCTCTTTAAGCTTCTCTTAGGCCTTATCACATTCTAGGTTAGCAGTGATGAGCTGGGCCTGGGTCTATTCATATTCCTAACAGATCTATTTATTCTAGTGCTTAAGATTATCAGCCTTACTCTAGCTCTTAATAAGTTACTTATTTAGGAGAGCTGCCTCTGCATAGTTCTAATTTACCTTTATATCTAAAGTAATATAGATTTAGGAGATAGCTTCCTAGCAGCGCTCAGGGTCCATTCCCTAGTGGGCAGTGAATTCTTTATAGGAGATGCTGTTAGCTGGCTTATGGGTGTCTTCATTAAGGCTGCCATTCTCTGTCTAGTTAAGTAGGGCAGTCAGCCTTCTAGTAAAACCTAAGCCTGGTCTAGTACACTGAGTAGAGGGGTTATAGGTTCTGTTCCCAGCTCCTTACTGGTTCTCAGGCTCCTTAGTGGAAGCTATAGGTCTAGCCATCATTTATTCTTTCATGATCTCAGTCAATAGATCATGTCATTATCTCTAACTATTAGCATCATTAGCACGCAAAGGGTTCTTTGCAAGAGGAGGTAAGATTAGTACTTAATGTGAAAAAGAACATGTTTATTACTAGATCTTGAACCTTCTAATAAAAGAGATGATGCAGGAAGTAATGCTTAGTTTTATATGATGGCACTGCTCATATTCTAATAGTATGGTAGTATTTTAATAAAAAACTAAGCATAGAGAAGAGGGGGAAGAAGTATGTACATAGTAGGGAGATATATAAATAGAGGGTGGAATAGTGTAACAATCCAAACAGCCTGGAGAGGTAAGTAATTAAGATGGGCAGAAAGCTCCGTGCAAGGAGGTCCGCGGGGAACATGGTGACAGATTGTCACATACTTCATGTTGTCAGGCTGCACTGCCGGAAGTTATAGCTTATATTGAATCAAACAAAACAATCACTAAATGGATGCTTCATTCCTTCCTCCAAGATCCTGGAATTTTGTCATACTTGTTGGCCATGTGTGGGGCCACACGTAGAGATCATCCCAGAAGTAGTACTCATTCAAATCCCTGTAGTATCCCATATATTCATCTACGCTCATGTACGTCCAGCCAACTCCTCATGATACTCCTCTATCTCACCATCTCATAGTCTGGATGCACAGTATAGTTTCGTTCATGGGCTCCAGGGGTCCCTATTGTCCCTAAAGCAACTTCACCACAGGAAATGATATCTCATCCAGTGATTCCAAGCAAATGTTGTCTATAAAAGATAAAAGGTTATATCTCGCGCCAAAGTCCATTCTCAACAGAGGCTGGTCAAGCTGAATTCTTCCTGTGCGAAGAACTTCTCTGGTTGTGCTATGACCCGTGGCAGTTCTTCAGAGACCTAAGTGATGAAATGATCATGGACGTTATGTGATGTTACTCTATCAAATTTCTCCTTATCCTCTACTATAACTGGCTTGTGATGTGGATATAGGTCCATTGCGTCTTTGCACTCCAGGTCTCCTTGGACACTTTCATTAATAAGGTGCAGCATACGCTGCCAGGCCTTATCATTGCTGTAGCTACAGCGGTAGATATTAAAGCCCCATGGGACATCCAGCTTCAGGTTGAAAAGTGATAGATAGAAATCCAGTGATGCTATCTCATTTAATTAAGGCTTAGAGTCTATACTCTGAGTAGAGAACCTCAGTCTTGCCAAGCAGCAGGAGAAGCAGTGGGTGGTGGAATGTAGGGTAAATAGTGATCCTAGTCTCCTTAAGGTTGCTCTGTTGGCTACAAAACAAAGCTGTTCATAATTCTGGGGTTTCCTTTCTTTGTTGCTTTTTGGATTGGAAGAATGGTGAGATTTATGGCAGGAAAGAAAGAGGGCTGCACCCCTTGATAGTTTGAATATTTAAGCACGCAGTGACGCAACTAGGCTTAAGGGCAAAATGCCTCTTTAGGCTTAGACTGACAGGCATAAGAATAGAAGTGAAACAGCCAATGTAGCAAGATTTATAGACGGCACCAGGATGCTCAACATTAGTTTACTTGTTTTCGGGGCTTAATGGTTCTCCAACCCAAAGTGTCGACTCATACTGACTGAATTTGGAAGTAAGGGAGGCTGCTCAGCTTGAAAGCAAAGTCATCGTCTGACTTGGTCTGCCGAATTTTATGACCAAGGGTGGCTCAAATTCTTTCCAGATGGCAAGAATACCTTTCAACTTGGGCATATATTGATCTGCATATTCAATTTCCTTGGCCAGAAGTAGACGCGCCTGATTAAAAGAGTTCGCCAGGCCAGCATCATTGAGATAGTTGAACACTCTGATTGTCTACGCCTTAGAGCTCAGTGATTGCCTCTCAGGAATTCTGGCGAGGACATGACCTTTTATCTGAGGGTCTTGAGCACTTACCTTTTGCAATACCCTGAGCATCATCTTGACTGCTTCCTCATCGCCATCATCCGCAGCAGCTTTTAAGTACTTCCCAAAGGTTTTGAGGCTCATGGGCATTTTCCTAATAATGATAAGCTGTTTGAATCTGTTCATGTCCTTGGGAAGGAGTGACATGCCTCCGCGGTATGCATAGGATCCAAGGACCTTAAAAATGCGGTCATTAAGTGTTAAGGGCTTTGTCCAGCCCTTAACATCAGTGATGATAGCGCCGATTTGTGGTAATGAAACGTCATACAACTTGTTCCACCCGCGGACAAGTTTCACAGGGTTGAGAGTTGTGGCTTTCATCTTTGCTCCAGAGGGCAGTATACCTGAAAGGGCGGTTGTCAAAAACCACAGTATCATTTGAATCTGTCTGAGAGGCCTGTGGAGGAAGATGGATATGTTATAATGGCACTCAGGCACCAAAATGGGATTTGGATATTTAGGATTTATGGTTCCAGATATTAGAGCTATGGTTGAGCGGCTAAGGGCAGTGGGTGTTAAGATTCTGAAGGAACCTAATATTGCTTAGTGTGAATATATTCCATTAATAGAGTAGGAGGCATATAGAGGTGTGGATGTCGGAGACTTGCATGATAACTATAAGATAACCTTTCTAGAGGTAGCCTTTATAGTTGATCCTATAACTTAGTAGGTCTATCTTAGTTCTTTTAGTAAATTATCTAGCAGGATGTCTATTACTATATGTCTTTTTATCCTTATGTATGGCCTTGTTTAAAACTAGTCTCTAATTAATCCTATTCTATACTTTTTAAGGAGTTGTATATTTCTGTGTTTAATATCTCGATAGATAGTATGCTGCTAGGATATAAGTCTATAAAAGAATGTTGGTTTTACATGTCTAGGATTAGGTTAACCTCTTGGGTTTTTGCCTCAATTGTCGGTGGTTTTCGAGGTTAACACTGTCAGAACATTTCCAGACTTGCCCGCGTTCGTGAAAATCAACGCAAAAGTCGTGCTAGAAAACGGAATCACGTCCAGGAACTCGAGCAGTGGCTTGCATCTAGCAAAGAAGCTGGGAATCGAAAGGATATTGGGCTCCAGTTGCTTGTGCAGAAAACTTAGGCCGAGAACAGAAAGCTTAGAGACCTCCTGATTTTCTCGGGCGTGCAGCCCAGTGTCATTGAAACGTATCTGCACATGGATGCTTATTCGAATACAACCCGGAACATTGCAATTCCTGGTCTACAGGGTTATGAAGAAGCCATTGCGTTGCCGTACCAGAAGAGCATGCACAGTCGTCCCATTTCATTTCAATATCAAGACCACACAGTGCATTATCTACAGAACAACCGGGGCAACCAGTAGCTAGCGCTGCTTGTCAGCAGTCTCCTGGCCTTGCCGAAGAATGTGCTTCGCCTCGAAACGGGAGATTCAGCACCTAGTGTACCTCTCAACAATCTCCGGGGCCCGTCAAACACAGCGCTTCATTTGCAGGACTACCACTACCTGCTTTTGATTGGCGTCTTTCAGTGCAGGCTCATTTTGGTTCCCAAAGGTGCTTAATGAAATCTTGGGCAATCTTTCTTCCTCATCTTTTCGCACATCGCACCATCTTCGACAGATATCACACCCGCCCGGTATGCATCGATGGTCTCTGGGTAGATTATAAGATAAGGTGTTAGATATGGGCTAGGTCACTTGTGTGGTAACCCAGGATCCGTGAGCTGGGGAGCTGGGCAACCTGAATGAGATGCCGCGCTGGTCCTTCGACCTGTTGACTGGTGAAGATCTGGGTGTCTTCCTCCCACGCATGCCATGGAATAACATTTCCATAACGTTATCATTGTTCAGCGACATGATATTTGCTGCATTAGGTTACGCCTAGGAAGTGAAGGCTTTTCATAGTATATGTGACTCAGTATCAACTACTCAGTCTTCATAAAATCCTCAATATAGGTCGATGTAGTGAACATCTCGGAAAAAGAGGCCAAGTTCAGTGGTTCAAAACCTGAGCCTGTGGGACGTGATCGGCATCGAGTTGTAAGATCAGCAGTTCGACAAACAGGAGGGCCTTTCTTTGATTACAATTAGAGTATCCACCT